ACTGAAAATATCACGGCTTGGATCAGGTACACCTTAGGCTTTTCTTTTCCCCCTTCTTTGTGGTACTTTTCTTTTTCTACCTGGGACATAAACAGCGTGAACACAGGTCTGAAAAACTGTTTACTTTCGTGCTCAACCAGATGATTTTGAGAACAATCTTTCAGCAGTCCTGATTGACCTGAACCCCAGCCTCCTGGGAATCTTCTCTGAGAAATCTGACTGATTCAGTCAGATTACAGGCCTGTACGGTGACCAATAACACCAGCAAGGAACACTGTCCTTGGAACAACCACACATATGTGACCAAAGGGCAGCATTTGTTCAAGGGATCAAGCTCAGAAGATAGAAAGGAGTAGAATAGGGAGTTCTGGTGGCCTAGTGGCAAGAAAGTGCACTGTGATCCCCGAGGTGTGTGGTTCAAATCCACCAGATTCCCTGCTGGAAAAGGAGGGACAATCTCCTCCTGTACCAGTCAGATACTATTTGAGGGTACACACACAAAAAATAATAAAATAATTTAAAAAAAAGAAAGGGGCAGAATAAATGGATCAAAGAAAACAAGACTCAGAGAAAGGAAGTGGGAAGAGTGCTATTACAATGCAGGGATTATAATCAATGCCATAAAACAAATCAGCCTTTGCCTGCCTGTCCCAGAAAAGCACATTCTTCATACAGCTTTAAACCCTAATGGAACTTTCTCCATGCTCTTGTCTGTGAGATTTAGGGAGTGCCTGGCCCAGCCTAGATCAGAGCTGTGTGTGGCTGTGAGCCTTCTTGATAAAGCCTGTCCCTTCTGCCTGCTTAAGCGTTGTGCAAAAAAATGACAAACCATCTACATGTTGTTGTTGTTGTTATGTGCCGTTGAGTCGTTTGCGACTCATAGCGACCCTATGTACAACAGCCCTAAACCCTGCCCTATCCTGTGCCAATCTCATTGCCTCTGCACACCCATCCCGATTACCCCAGTCACTGAATCAATCCACCTCAGAGAGGGTCTTCCCCTCCTGTGCTGTCCCTCCACTCTGCCCAGCATGATGTCCCTCTCCAAAGACCTGTCTCTCCTTACAACATGTCCAAAGTATGTCAGGCAAAGCCCCAGAATCCTTTCCTCCAAGGAGCAGCCTGGTTTAACCCTCTCTAGGATGAATCTATTTGTTTTCTTGGCAGTCCATGGACATTCAGTACTCTTCTCCAGCACCACAGCTCAAAGGCGTCAATTCTCCTTCTATCCTCCCTAGTCATTGTCCAACTCTCTGATGCATAACAAGTGATTGCAAAAACCATGGCCTGTATCAGGTGCACCTTAGTCTCCAGAGAGACACCGTTGCTCTTGAGTACTTTAGAGAGGTCCCTAACCGCAGACTTTCCCATCGCAATATGTTTTTTTATTTCCTGGCTACTGGTGCCAAGAGTGTTGACTGTGGAGCTGAGCAAACTGAAGCTGTGAACAATCTCAATCTCTTTACCATCCATCCTGATGCTACCGATTGGTCTAGTGGTGAGAATTTTTGTCTTCTTGACATTGAGCCTCAGTCCATATTGAAGGCTGCAGTCCTTGACCCTCTGCAGTAAGTGCATATACTCACCTCTAATTCATGGTCCATTTTTATAAAATTGTTGAACTTTTTAAAAAATAATATTTCATAACCTGTGAAAATGATACAAAATTCAGATTTTTTGTGTCAATAATGTTTTATTAGAACACACATACACACACACAAAACCCAACTGCCCTGAAACATTCTAGGAAACGGGAACATAGAGGGGCAGGTGGGCACTGAGAGAAAGGGTGTGGAGAGTCCAGAAACTTCCCCTGAGGGACTTTTGGTCCCAGCCTACAACCCAAAGGTGCTCTGGGCACATGGAGCAGGACCATGCAGTCAGACTGTGGCAGTAAGGTCAGAAAGACCAGTCTCAATGGCAGCTGATGCCGAGGATGAGTTTATTGGCTTCCGGTCTCATGCTTTCTGTTGTTGCTTGATGAAGTTGATCAGCCCATTGGTGGAAAAACCATGAGAAGTCACTGGGTTAGTGCCCGTAAGTTCCAGTTCAGTTTTATTAGCCAGCTTCTTGCCCAGCTCCACTCCCCACTGGTTGAAGACATTGGCATCCCAGATGACTCTCTGAATGAAAATCGTATGCTCATACATGGCAACCAAGACTCCAAGAATGAACAGCGTAAGCTTGGTAGACACAATGGAATTGGCTGGGTGATTTCCTTAAAACATATTGTATGGCTACAACTTTTCCATTTCCTCCGGACTCTTTCCTGTGGCCTGGAGCTCCTTCTGGTCTCTTCTGCTGTCTGCTCCTTCTTCAGGGCCTTAGTGTGGGCTAAGAAGTTGGCCAGAAGGATCTTGTGATGTAACACCTTCTTAATAGGGTGCTGGGTCTGAGCTGGGATAAGGAAGTCACATGGTGTCGTCCTGGTGCCTTGGTGGATAAGCTGGTAGAAGGTGTGCTTGGCCGTTGGTCCCTGGCTCTCCCCACAAGATGGGGGCCATCTGGTGATCCACATGGACGCCGGATTTGGTAATCCATTTCTCATTGGATTCATGTCACCCTGCTGGAAGTAGGCAGCAAAGTGGTCACAGGGCAGTATAGTCTCACAGTCAAAGCAGCTGATGTACAAGATCCCCAGGAGAGCCAGCAGAACAGAGGTGTTCTTCTCCCGGGGTGCACCTTGGAAGTGCTGGTCCATCCAGTGTGTCCCCAACAGCAGCTGCTCAAAGTTGTCAAAGCCTATGTGCAGGGCAATGTAGAGTCCAATACTGGTACTTTACTGTTTAAAGTAACTTTTTCTCTTTACAACTTTAAAGAGTCTCATGGCACCATATTGGCCCATTGCAATACATCTTTTGATTTTTCTGTTACTTCCATGGGCTTTGATTGTGGATTCTTTTCTCTTATTTAATGATATTTATTAGCTCATTTGTGAAAATTTTTATTTTGAGGTGCACTCCGTCCAGAAAGGTCTTTTAGGTTCATTATTAAATTCTTTTAAGTTTTCTTTGTTTTCTGGAAGCAAGATTGCATCATTTGCATATCACAGGTTGCTAATGAGTCTTCCTCCAATCTGGACATCACATTCTTCTTCATATCTTTTCCGCTGCTGTTTTTACTAGGTGCTGTTGGATCTGAACCCTGCCTTATCGTGTTTTGTCCTCACCATTTCTGACATACTGGAACCTATTACATATGTCCTTCTCTAAGAACCGGCCCCTCCTAAAAACATAACCAAACTATGTGAGACAAAGTTCCACCATCCTTGCCTCCAAAAAGCACCCTAGTTGCACTATCTCCAAGACAGACTTGTTTGTTCTTTTGCTAATCCACGGGCTATTCAGTACTCTTGCCCAACACCAGAACTCAAAGACATTGATTCTTCTTCTGCCATCTTTATTCACTGTCCAATTTTGAGATGCAGAATAAGTGACTGAAAAGATCATGGCTTGAACCAGGTTCACCTTAGTCTATAAGCTGACATCATTTCTCCACAGCACCTTGGAAAGTTCCCTGACAACAGATTTTCCCAATGCAGCACAGTGATGAGGATTTTTGTTTTCTTGATGTTGAGATGTAATCTATATTGAAGGCTTTAGTCCTTGATCTTCTGCAACAAACACTTCACGGTTTCCTCATTTTCAGCAGGCAAGTTTAGTTTGTGTTTTCTGCACAATAATAGTCAGTACTCTTGAAGGCTATTATTATGTACCCTTGAGTTGGAACCAAGTCATAGCTAACCCTCCAGTGGGCTTTCAGAGGCAGTGAATCACATGGGAGGAGATTCTCATCTTTCTCCCACAGAGCAGTTTGTGGATTCGAACTGGGTACTTTTGGATTGGCAATGCAATTCCTTACCATTAAGTCACTAGATTGGAATGGAGTTGCACTATAAAGGTACAAGGTTCGAATCCACCAGTCATTCCTCAAAGAGAAAGATGGGTAAACTTCCGCAAGCCACTGCCTCTGAAAACCCATCGGAGGGTCAGTTCTGACTGGGTTCCAACTCAGTGGTACACAACAACAAAAAGCCACCTGATCTTTTGAAGGCTGTAGTACTCTCATTTTTAAAGAAGTGAAACGTAGGCCTCAGTAATTACAGAAGACATAAAAGTGTAGGTGCTAAGAGGAAGCTGTCACTCAAATGTAATGGTTTAGGAAAGTCATTCAGGTGAAAGGACCAGCAGGAGTAGTAAATACAAGGTATTGAGCCATAGTGGCACATTTTGCTGGTACATTCAATTACTGGCCACTCTGAGCATGTTTTCCCATTTGGACAGAGCAGAGGATATTAATTTTCCCTACTCTTTCCCTCCACTTCTCCCCATCACACCATGAGACTGGGAAACCGATTTTATTTTAAATTTTTATTTATTCTACTTTTATTAAGGGTTTTCTTTGCTGTGATCCCCCCTTTTTCTACTAGTTTTATTTACAGAATTCGAATACATTGTTTTCAAGAACAAATTCAATTTCCCTCAAACCGCCCCCCCATAAAATTGAACCGGCAAACTGATTTTAAACACAACGCGAAAAGCTATTGTGCTAACATTCCTAGTGGAAGAATAGATGCTTCCCCAAGCGATGCTGGCTGTGCCTTCCAGCGCGGACCACGCGCCTCTGCCGCGCCCTGGCGGCCAGGCGACTTCAGGCTGAGGCCGCCGGACCACGTGTGAAGTCGTGGCCACCATATTTCATTCAGGCAATGGCCATCTTCGTAAAGCCATTACATAGTCTGTAGATTCCACTTGGCTCTTCTGATCCTTCAAGATCCCTATAAGCTAATCTTAATCGGATGTTGGATCTGAGAGTTTACCAAAATATATACTTATTGAAAGATTAAAAACAGATAAAGGTAAAGAGATAACAACCCTAGTTTAGACGGGAGTAGGAGGAACTTCCTTTACCAATATGGCGACAGCGTGTTAACGTCATCATCGCGCGCAGTACAAAACTGGGCAGCCGGCGCGCTAGTCCCGCGGTGACGTTACGGAGACGCGACCTGCCGGCGCTGAGAGAAGGAGGTAGGAGCGGCCGCGGCGCAGGCGGAGCCGGGGCATGGGGGGCGGGGGGCGGGCCCGTGACAGCGGCCAGACCCACGAACCCCCTTCCCTGGGTGAGTGGTGGCGGGGTGCTCGGAGATGGGGGTGCTTCCGGCGCCCAGTCCTGACGCCTCCCAAGGAAGCTGTGCCCATTTTTTGGAACGAGTGACTGAGACCCAGAGCAACAGCGAGGTGTTCGAGGCCTCGGCGTACCGCCCCTGCCCCTGAGTGAGCATCTTTGTTCACTGGTGGAAGGTGGCGGGGCGGGGGGTGTCGAGCTAGGCTGGGACAACCCCCAGCTTCTTGCAATGCGTGCAGTGATGGGAGGGGCGGGGCAGCCCAGAAAGGGTAGCATTGAGGATTTCTTCGGAGAGACGGCGTTGAGTTTCATTCTTCCCCCCCCCCCTTCACCGTCACGCCCAGTCGGCCATCTGGGCGATTCAGCCCCTAAATATCGGTTGGACCACTCCTTGATTTCCGCAAATCCATCCATCACCACCCCCGGGGACACTTGTCTGATCTCCCTAACTGGGTCTTCTAGCTCCTGTTTCCTCCAAGCTATGCATCGCGCTGGAATGCAGATTCACTTTTTCTCAGCTTGCCTCTTCTCCTAAGGCTCCTCCAGAAAACCCTTTGAGTCCTTAGGTCAGCACCCCACCCTTCTCCATTCACGCCTTAGTAATTTCTCCTTCCCCTGTCGTCCTACCTGCCCTGCAGTCTCAGCTAGCCTGAAATCTGTCCTAGTTATTTCTTTCCTCTGTGGCCAACGTAGGTGCGCAGTACAAGTTTGTTGAATACAGTGTGTATGTGTGAGAGAGAATGTGAATGTTTGGCATACAGATAAGAAAGAATGAGGGTATTCGGGCGTGAAGAGTAGAAGGCCTGTCAGCCTGGGCAGATGGAGATAAGAGAACTTGGCTAGTAGGGCAGTGCCTACTAGGTCCGTAAGGTTTTCAAGGAGGCGAGGGTGGGAAAGCATGTATCAAAGGAGAACATAGAAATCTGGAGCAGGAGGAGGATGGGAAGGGCAGGGAGGAGCTATGTTTGGACATAACAGTGTGTGAGGTATTGCATATTGAGGGAACTCTATTCACAAACACTTCATTCCTTAGTTAAAAATGTGTCTTGAGCTCCTGTTCTGCAGGGCTCAAGACCACAGCTGTGATAAAGCAGGCCTGTCCCTGTCGTCAAAGACCTCACAGCTTTGTCAAAGAGAAGTCTATGGTCAGGGAGAGAGTTAAAGAGGTCTCCGAAGAGTCCCCGGGGATGAGGGCCCCTGAGCCAAGTCCTGAAGTTTAAATAGGCATTTACAAGATTTTAGAAGTAAACCAGTTGCCCTTGATTTGGTTTCTACCTCATGGCGGCAGCCCCTTGTCTGGCAAAGTAGAATAACTGTGTAGGGTTTTCAAAGCTGTGATTTTTCTGAAGCAGATCAGCAGTCTTTCTTCCCAGACACCCCTGAGCAGGTTAGTAGCCAAGCACCATTTGTACCATCCAAGGACTTCTTGCATGCCATTAAATCAAAGCCAGCTTATAGCCCACGGTCCAGTGGGTTTTCAGAGACAGGCAGTCAGTCACATGGGGGAGGCCGCCCATTCTTCTCCCACAGAGCAGCTGGTAGATTCATACTATGTGCTTTTGGATTCATAGCTCAATAAAAAGGGAGCAAAAAGTATCCGCATCCAGACAGAGGGCACAGAAGTTGCAGAAGTTCTCGGGAGATCCTGCTTGGTGAGTTTGAAGGAGGCTAACGTGGCTGCTTGAGAGTTGAGAAGGGGAGATAGAGGGAGGAGAAGCCAGTGTTTTCTGTTGGGTGCATCCTGGGCACTTTGCTTGAGGGAGCCAGGGAACAGGTAGGACCAGTTCAGAATTGAGCTAATATATCCTGATCCCTAAAACAGCTCCTACTCCCTAACAAGGGAAGGGATTTGAATTGTGCCCATATCTCAAATGAAGAAACAGACCTCAGGAAGTACCTTAGCCATGACCACAGAGCCAGTCTGCCAGGTCCACACTAACCTTCCCTGTTTCTCCCCTCTTTGCCTATTAAACTTCCCCTGCAGTCTCAGTGGCAGGTGGCGGGGAGGGCGCATAATCACCCCTCCACATGGAGTAAGGTCCCCAGTGATCTCAGCCTCTGTCTGATTTGATGTTCTCGGAGGTGCCAGCTGCCTTATAAAACATGGAATTGGAGCCTGGCAGTCTGGGTTTGAGTTCAAATTCCAGCCCTTGCATTAACCACTATCTGACCTGGGACATGTTGGTGACCCTCTCTGAGCTTCAGATTCCTTACCTCTGAAATGGGGTAAAAGTTTCAAAGCTACTGAGGAATATAGTGGTTTAGTGTGAGGCTGGCACAGCGCATCGGTTCAAATTTCAGTTATGTCTGTGCAGCCAGTCCTGTCTGATCCCAGAACTTTCCACCCCCTCGTTATACTAATTTTTCCAATATTTGCCCTAGCCCAATCTCAGTGCCTGCCAGAGTCTAGGGTGTTGCTTTACCAGTTGCTGTCAAATCAGCACTGACTCAGAGAGACCCTATGTGTGTTGGGGTTGAAATGAGCATCATAGGGTCTTCAGGGGCTGATTTTTCGGAAGAAGATTGTGGGGTTTAATTCTGAGACACCTCTGGGGAGACTCATGTTAACTATTTGGACCAGCTTATGGGATCGTAAGCCAAACACCAAGCTATTTCCTACTGAGTCAGTTCTTACTGAGTAGAACTGCCCCAGGGGGGTTTCAGGACAGATTTAAAAGCAGATTGCCAATCCTGGCTTCTGAGGCATCTCTGGGTGGGTTCGAACTGCCACCCTGTAGATTAACCAAATACTTAGTGGAGGCACCTTGAAACCACTTAAATCAGAATGTGTCTAAGGCTTGTTTAAAGCTATCTCTTAGCTTCCTGTTACCCTGAGAATAGATTACTGTTCTCTTCCCTAGCCCACTAAACCCTGTGCTGTCAGCTGTTGTCCCCTTCCCCCTCCACCTCTGCTCTCTCACACACCCCTGTCTCAGTAGCAGGCAAACACATAAGTCTTAGAAAAGGTGCAACCAGAGTGCTTCTTGTAGGCAGGAATGTTGAAGCTTCACCTCTCATACTTTGGATTTGTTGCTAGGAGAGGGTGTTCCTTAGAGAAGGATATTATGCTTGGAAGGGTGGAGGGTCAGCAAAAGAGAGGAAAACCCCCAATGAGGTGGCTTTACATGGTGATTGCAGCAGGGGTCTCAAGTGTGTCAGAGATGATATGGGTGGCACTGGATAGGGTAGAAATCAGGTCTGTTCTTAGAAACGCCGTAGATCATACTCAACTCAAGGGCATCTAACAACAACATGAGGCCTTTGCACATGTGGCCCCTCCACTCCCACCTTCTCAGACTTGATCATGAGAATGAACTGAGACATAAGAAGCACTACACCTGCATAGGCACCTGCCTCAAACATATCAGAGTTTCTGATGGGACTCGCTGGAGGCCATCTGGTGGTTCTAGGCGAGCATAGCTTCCCCTTCATTCTCAGTATTGGGGGGGGGGGGGCTCTGTCTTCAAGTTCAGTAAGTGACTGGGCTGCAGGGGCAGAGGAGGAGAACCCAGAGGGAGGAGTATCTCCCCACATGGAAGAAAACTGAAGTTCAGGAAACTGATGGCACTTGTCCCAGGTCGCTGAGCCGTTCCAGAGGGAATGCCCTTAATTTCTCAGCTGAATGAGCACCCCCTATCACCTCAGAAGTGAGTCCCCAGACTCCCCTTGCTAGCCTCAGTGTCCCCACTTTGCAGTGGTAGTAAGGCAGTTACCTGTACAGTGTCAGGGGAGACTTGATCATTTTGGTTAGAGCGCTTGGCGGGCCAGCAGCAAGATGGGGGTTATGTCTGTCTCGTCTCCCCAGAGCTCAGCAGAGACCTGGCTTAAGCCCAAACATGACAGGTTTCCATAGACTGTTGCCTTTCCTAGTGTGGTGAGCCCAGGCTGGCCCTTAGAAGCCACTCATGGCGACACGGCCTCAGCTGTAGGTCTGGAGACAGAAATCTCATAGGTCCCAAAATGGGAGAGTGAGAATTTAGTCCAGGCCCCACACAGACGTGGACATGAATTTCTGTCTTTTCACAACCACCGTACGGTGGGAACAACCCAGATGGCCACTAGCAGGTGAAGTAATGAACACTGTAGTCTATCCCCACACTGACTGTGACGCAGCCATACAAAGAGTGAGACTCTGAGACACCTTGCAGGGTGGGGAACCTTGAAAACAAGGCCCAGGGAGAGAACTGGCCACACTGGACCACTCAGTGCCTGAGTCCACGTACAGGAACAGTCCAGAATAGGCAGAGCCACAGAGATAGGACAGAGTTGCCAGGGGCTGGGAGAGGAAGGGTGATGCATGACCGAGGGGAGGATGAGAATGTTCTGGAAGTGATGGATGGGGCAGTGTCCACCAGTTGCTAAAGTGACACAAAGTCACTGAATTACATTTGGAAGGAGTGACTTTCCTATAACAGAAAATACCTTGATAAATCAGTGAAAAGAGAAAGAGAAGGTACCCAACTACCCACTGCTGCCTCTTCTAATCAGGGATATACCAGATGGCCCCAGGTAAATAGGCTCCTAAAAGTCACCTTTACTGCATTGTTAGAGACTCCAAATTATTGCCTCTTTAAACTTTTTTCTGAAACCATCTCTGGACGCCCTTCAATTAAATAAAATATTGGCTTGTAAAATAAGCAATTATAAAAAACCTTCAGCTCCTAGCTATCAAGTCAGAAGTGATGCATGGTGACCATCCATTGGTTTTCTGGGGCTGTCAGTCACACGGGAGGAGGCTACCCACCTTTCTCCTGAGCCTGGTGGATGAACACTGGTGTAGTCTGCAGTGTAAGCGCTTATTGCCCATAAATATTTAAACTAGCATCCATTTGAGGTCAGCTGGTCAACGTTTGCCTCTAAGCAGATGAAGAGGTAGGGAAGAGAAAGAGAGGGAAGCTAGATTAATGGAAACAAAACAAACAGAATGGAAATAGAGAACCTTAACAATGTGAAAAGCAACAAGAGTCACTGAGCTATATGGAGAAATATTGGGGGGATTAAGGGTGAGGAAGAGATGGAATGTTAAGAGACAGGGAGAAGAGATTGAGAAAGGGAGAGGGAACACCAAGACTGAAGTTCTCACTTTCTGTCCTTCCGGGTCCCAGGAGGATCTTAATCCTAGACAGCAGTGCCCAGGCTGAGGGTACCGTGAGCACGTGTCCCAGCCCCTGCTCACCACGCCCCCTCCTGCCCGTAGCTTGCCGAGGGATGCCCAAGAAGTTCCAGGGCGAGAACACCAAGGCGGCAGCAGCCCGGGCACGGAAGGCGGAAGCCAAGGCAGCAGCCGATGCCAGGAAGCAGAAAGAACTGGAGGATGCGTACTGGAAGGACGAGGACAAACACGTCATGAGGAAGGAGCAGCGTAAGGTGGGTAGCTCTGGAGTCCCGAACGCCTGCAGGTGCCCAGCTGGCAGAGCTGAAGGGGCATCAGATATGGGGTGAGTCCCAGAGGGAGTTCTGGGCAGCCGAGGCAGTGTGTGCAAAGCGCCTGGGGTGAAGGTAGCCTGTTTGGGGTCACTGGTTGCAGCAGAGCCACCACCCTTTTGTGGGCTCCTTTCTGTCAACACCAGGTCAGGCTAGAAGATGACTGGGTGGTTCTTCCTTCAGAGAATCTTGGGCTGTGTCTGGAGACATTTGTGATTATCACAGCAGGGCATCAGATGGGACCAGAGACACTGTTCAACACCCTAAAGTGCATAGGTCAGCCGCACTACAGCAGAGAATGTCCCAGACCGAAGGTCAGTGTGGCTAAGGGCTGTCAGCTCACTGCCTTCAAGTCAGACCTGACTCATATTTGAGCATCCAACAAGTTTTCAGGGTCTGTAAATCACACAGGAGGAGCTTGCCCATCTTTCTCCTGTAGAGCAGCTGGTGGATTTGAACTGCCGGCCTCTGGGTTGGCAGTGCAACTCCTTACTCACTAGGCCACAGAACTTCCTCACGCGGCCATAGATTCCCCCTTCACCGATCCTCTGGCCCTGACCCAAGGCTTCTCTGGTTGTTCACAGACACACGCTGACTCTAAGAGGGCAGGCCTGTCTGTTTGCCCCCAGAGAACTGTGCTCAGCACCCCGCTGCTCTGGACTTGATCCCATCTCAGGATGAACTCATGAGGGTCAGAATAGAACCATGCTCTGTGATTTTCAGGGACTGGCTTGTGGTTCCTTTCTTCTGAGATGCCTCAGGGGAAACTTGAACTGCCAGACTTTGGTGACCAGCTGAGCAGGTCAACCCTTGCCCTCCACCCAGGACTCCAATCTGGCATGGTAAATCAAAACCAAACCCTTGCCTGATGCCATGACGTTAACGCCATGTGTTACATACACAGTAGAACTAAACTCCATAGGGGTTTCTTGATCTCCAGGTAGAGAAAGTGGTTGGTGGTTTGAACCCACCCAGCATTGTCAAGAAAGAAAGGCCTGGCACTCTGCTTCTGTCAGGAGAACTCTGAGGAACAGTTGCGCTCGCCAACACGGGCCACTGTGAGTTGGAGTCTACTTGACTGATGGCAGTGGGCTTAATTGATTCCCTTGATAGAAAATTGCCAGGCTCTATTTGAATGCCCCTGGGCAGACATGAACTGCCAACCTTTCGGGTAGCAGCCCATTCACTGTTGCTTCCACTCAGAGACTCCTGCCAGGCACAGCAAAGATCAAACCCAGCCCTCTGCAGTTGAGTCACTTTGCATTCACAGTAACCTTTCAGGACAGGAGAGCTGCCTCATAGACTTTTCTACAAATGTAAGTCTTTACAGAGGCAGACTGCTACATCTCTCTCACAGAGCAGCTGGGGCCTTTGAACCACTGACCTTTTGGCTCACAGTCGGGCACTTTAACCACTGAACCTCCAGGGCTCCTTGCCAGACACATAAACTTTAAAATCCAAACCCACCGCCACTGAATCACTCCTGACTCAAGGACCCTACAGGACAGAGTAGAACTCTCCACAGGGGTTTCGTGGTTGTAAATCTTTGTAGAAGCAGAGTCAGCAGATGGATTTGAACAGCCAGGCCTTCCCGTCAGCAGCGGAGTGCTGGAGCATTACCAACTCTTGTATTAAAACCCACTGCCCTGCCGTTGACGTCAGCTCATGGTGTCCCAGCAGGACAGAGTAAAATTGTCCCTCAGGTTTCCAAGTCAGTAAATCTTAACAGAAGCAGACTGTCACATCTTTCACCTCCAGAAGGTCAGCACCTTACATATACAGAATGCAAACTTACTGCTGTTGAGTCCGAACTGCTTCCTAGCTCATCCTCCACTGGACTCCCAGACTGTAAATATCACAAGAGGAGATCCCATCTTTCTCCTGAGGAGCCGCTGGTGGATTCAGGCTGCCAAAAAGGGACCTAGGAGGGAGCTCTGGTGGCCTCGTGGCAAGAAGCTGCACTTTAATCCTGAAGGTGCGCTGTTCAAATCCACCAAATTCTCTACTGGAGAAGGAGGAGCAATCTCCTCCTGTGCCAGTCAGATCTGATTCAGTGGTACACGACAAGCGGGAGGAAGGGACCAAGAAAGGGTTAGCAGTGTAGTTCCCTGTGGGCTAGGCCATCAGAGCTCCCCAGATTATACATCACTCTCACTGCACCAAGTTGGAACCAACTCACAGCTGGTCCTCCAGCTAGTTTTCAAAGGCTGTAAATCGCAAGAGGAGATTACCCATCGTTCTCCCATAGAGAGGCTGGTCGATTCAAGCTACCCACCTTCAGGATGGCGCCACCCACCAGGCCACCAGAGCTCCCTAGTTTATCCATGTTGTTCCTGTTCATTGCTGTCTAGTTGGAGCGAACTGCTAGCTGACCCTCCAGAGGGTTTTCAGAGGCTATCAGTCACATGGAAGGAGGTAGTAGGTGCTTCATTGTTATCTGGGGAGTGATTTGGGGCTTGCCAGTCAATGGCATCATCGATCTGTTTTTAGCCCTGACCGCAGCTCTGGATTCCCTTGGACTCGCTGGATATCCCTGGGCAGAGCCAAGGAAACAGCAGATGTTTTCCACTGGGAATCTGATAAAAGCTGCAGAACCAGACTGTCATCTCACTGTCTGCAGTAGACTATCCTTTGTCCTCTCCCCACTTCTATCCACATATCCCTCGCATCAGGTTCTTAGAGATCCTAAACTTGTTCTTTGTAAAAATTTGACCATGTTTGGTTTTTTTTTTAAATCAAAATTGTTTGAACCCAGGTGTCTCAGAGTAGAGCTGAACCTCAGATGTCTTTCTTGGCTGGAATCTGTAGGGAAACAGCCAGGTACATACCATTTACGCCATGCAGGGACTATGACACTGTTGTTAAGAAGCCCAGGCTGTGCAGTCAGCTGCTAACCAGAAGGTCAGTGGTGTGAACCTGCGGGCCTCCCCAGGAGAGAAAGTTGTGACCCTCTGCTTCTATACTGATTTACATACAGCCTCGGAAACCCCGTGGGCAGTGCTGTGCTGTCTCTGTAAGTTGGAATAAACTCAGCTGCAGTGGTTTTGGCATTTTGGTTTTGTAGGTGGTTAGATGCTGTCAATGACCCAGTGACACCATGTCCTCGAGGAGAACTGCTCCGTAAGGTTTTCTTGGCTGATTTTGTTGTTAGGTGCCATGAGGTCGAGTACAACCCATTGTGACCCTATCAACAACAGATATGAACCCTGTCCTATCCTGTGCCATCCTCATACTTCCTGACACACTAGAACCCATTGTAGCAGTCACTGTGTCAGTCCACCTGGTCAAGGGTCTTCCTCTTCTTCATAGACCCTCCACGCTTCCCAACATCATGTCCCTCTCTAGTTATGTTTTGGCTGTTGTTGTTGTTATATGTGGTCGAGTCACCTGCGACTCATAGCGACCCTATTATGTACAGCAGCTCTGAAGCCTGCCCTGACCTGAGCCAGTCTCACTGACTCCAACACACCACCCCCCATTGCCTCAGTCACTGTATCAATCCATCTCATCTGGGGTTTTCTTCTCGTGTGCTGTCCCTCCACCCTTCCAAGCATGATGTCCTTCTCCAAGGACTGGTCTCTCTTGGCCACGTTCCCAAAGTATGTGAGATGGAGCTTCAAAATCTTAGCTTCCAAGGAGAAACTTGGCCTCACCCTCTTCAAGACAGAACTATTTGTTTTCTTGGCAGTCCATGGTATGTTCAAGATTCTTCTCCAGTACCACAACTCAAAAGCATCAGTTCTTTTTCTGTCATCCTTAGTGACCCTATGACTAACAGATCTGAACCCTGTCCTATCTTGTGCCATCCTCACATTTCCTGACACATTAGAGCCCACTGCGACAGTCACCACGTCAGTCCACCTAGTCAAGGGTTTTCCTCTCCTTCGCCAACCCCATCCAAGCATCACATCCTTCTCTAATGATGTCTTGGCTATTAGCTGTTTAAATATTTCCTATTTTGTTATTGAAAATAGACACAACAAAACATTCACCAGTTCTCTAATAATTCCTACCTGTACAGTTCACTGGCCTTGATTATATTCAAGGGACCCAATCATTCTCATTCCCCCTTTTTCCAAATTGTTATTCTGTTAACATGAACGCATCACCTCTACTTTTTCAAGGTACTGTTATCTGACCCCTATAGGTGGTTCTTAAAGGAGCAGAGCACAATACACAAAGCAAACACTCCACTAGTTCAACTATGCTGTTTGATTTTCAGGGGAAAAGTTCCATTTTAAGATGTATAGATTATCTCTGGGTAGTAGTTACAGGAGTTCATTCACCTTAGTGACTCCAGCAAGCCTAGATTCCATGAGAATTTGAAATTCCTTTCAAACTATCTCCCCTTTTGATCAGAACTCTCCTGTAGAATCGTTAATCAAGATGTTTAGTATAGGGGAGCTCTGGTGGCCTAGTGGCAAGGAGCTGCAGCTACAATCCCAGAGGCGCACGGTTCAAATCCACCAGATGCTCTGCTGGGAAAGGAGGGACTATCTCCTCCTGTATCAGTCAGATCTGATTTGACGGTACACTCACACAAAAATAATAAAATAAAATAAATTAAAAAAAAGATGTTTAGTATAGAAGCCTTTCTTCTGCAAAGTCTCTGGGTGGGCTTGAATTTCCAGCTACAGTTAGCAGTTGAATGTATAACCACTGCACCAAGAGGGATACTTTTTAACACTTCAGGACAGAAGAAAACTCAAAAGGTAAAGCAAAGTCTGCCAAAGGTCAGAGAGATAGGGGAGACCTTTGGTCCCAGGAAAGTGGCTCAGGGCAAGGGCTTCTCATGGCCTGTGTCTTGTGTGTCAGGGTCATCTCATCCTCTGGATGAGGAACTCTGACACAGATCAGGAAGTGGGAGCCCATGCCAGGGGGCTGTGTGATTTGTCCAGAAGGGCAGCAGCCAGAGCCAGGCCTGCCTCCATGTTTGTTTGGATTGACCCACAGACAGTTAACTAACTTTGCTATAGCTACTTCTATACATCCTGGGCGTAGACCAGTTAGCTTGTGTCTTGTCTTCTCAACTGGTCAGAGCCAGGAAGAACCGTTAACAGTCTTGGCTTTTGTCTGATCGGCCCCCAACTCTTGGAACCCTGTGACCCATCTCCTGACTTTGAACCCCTTGACTCAGCACCGTTCTTGAATGTCTGGTAAATGGACTCAAGACATCCCACATTGTGGCCAGCACCTCTTGCTCAGATGTGCAGGGTTCTGCATTGGGCTGTCACTGGTTCTTTTCCATCACGCAGTTTTTTGTGGCTCCCCTTCCTGCCTCCCAGCAGGATGGGCACACAAGGACTGCAGTCCCCCGCCTCTCTGAAGCATACTCAGTCCCTTGTGTTTTCCTTACATGAGAACCACGGGGGAAAATTATATTAGAGTCATATTAATATGTTTATCTTAATGAGAGGGGAGAAAAGAATCCTGTGCTTGTTCCAGAACATACACGGAGACTGTCCACCCAGGAATCCACTCGCCCACACAGGACCCGAAGCCCCTTCTCATCAGTGCTGCACCTTGAAGCTACGCCCTTGGCAAAATGCAGCCCCACAGCTCGATTTCTCCTGGCCAGCCTGGGAGTCATCCCACGGTCACTGGCGGTCAGCCCTCCGTCGACATTTCATCTTCGTTCAGTTCCCATTAAGCAGCTCAGTGATAAGCACCTGGCTGCCAGCTCCCAGGTTTCCGGCTCAATTATGCATAAGGCTCCTTCGGGATAGTTCAGGAATATTCCGTCACGTACACTCATCCTTTAACCATCCCTAGATGCTGCCAGTGGTTAATTGCCTTCTTTCAGAAACTGGGAGTGTCTCTCCTGTTTTCGGTTTTAATTTTGCTGAGTGTCAGAGTGTAAATGCGTGTGGAAGATGAAGTCATGTGGAAGGGTTAGGAATAAAAGGCCCTGGTCAGGCACGGCTCTCTGGAGACAAATGCTGTGACCGTGTGGCACGTGTCTTTCCAGAGTGAGCGGAGCCTCCTGGCGTGAATTAGTTCATTCATTCAGCCACTTGGTCGCCCCGATCCCGCAGGTGGGACGAGGAGTACAGCTGCCCTGGGACCATGCGCGTCCCACTTCCCAGAGCTCGCTGCCCTGCTGTGTGCTTAACCCAGTGGTAGGAGGGCCTCCTGCCCAGGATACAAACAGACCAGCTACACAGGTGTTTCTGTCCTGTTAAATCCAGTGCATAGTGACGAGTAGAACAAGAACCATGGGATTTTCCTGGCTCAAATCTTTGAGTCCCTGAGTAACACAGAGAGTTAACTACCTCACTACTGGCCAAAAGGTTGGTGGTTCAAACCCGCCAAGAGGCACCTGGGAAAAAAGGCCTAGCAATCTGTTTTTGAGATGTCATATCCAAGAAAACCCCATGACACACATGTCACATGAGTTGGAGAAAACTTGGTGGGTATGGTTTATGTGTGTCTGGAGAAGCAAGAGCATATCATGGGGGCCTTATGGGTTTGGGGGCCCCTCTCTAGGATCTGCTGGTCAAGGGCAACCTCAAGCTTGCCCCTCCTTTCTCCCCAAGGATGATCTGTAAATGCAACTCCAGCCATAACAGCCTCCCCAGTTCCTTTGCTGTGACAGCTGGTTCCCACCCCAGGGCCTTTGCACCTGCCATTCCCACTGCCCAATATCTCAGCCAGCTCTTCCCTCTCCTTCATGTCTCAGCCTAGTGTCCCCTCTCTGAGATGTTTCCTTCTAGTTGTTGTACTTGTTCTTGAGCTCAGATTTGGGGAAGGGGGGATAAAGGCCAGCCCATCATGACAGCCCATCTCCCCGCCTCAGGAGGAGAAGGAGAAGCGGCGCCTGGAGCAGCTGGAGCGCAAAAAGGAGACGCAGCGGCTGCTGGAGGAGGAGGACTCAAAGCTCAAGGGTGGCAAGACCTCTCGGGTGGCTGCACCCAGCAAGGTCACCCGTGCCCAGATCGAGGAGACCCTGCGCCGAGACCTCCAGCACCGGGAGGCTCCAGAGCCAGGTAGGCCTGGGGCCAGTGTGCCCACAGGGCCAGTGTGTCCACTGGGGCTGCCCTTTGATCACTAAAAGGTTGAACTACAGCACCCTGACCCAGTCCAAAGCCAACAGGCCTCCCTGGTGGAAGCAAGGGGCGTGTCTCCTGCAGCCTCGCTCACAGCACAGACCCTCAGCTTGTTCCCCTCGGGGTCATGGGAAGGTTAATAGGAAGCCAAAAGGCAGAGAGCGGAGGCACATGTTGGCACTTCCTGTGTGAAGGCTCTTTGGGAGAGAGAGAGCAGGACCTGTGGGGGGTGATCTCACTCAGCTCATTTTCCTCCCGTCGTTCTCCCTGGGCCTCTTCTCCACCACCCCTGCCTTCTCTTCGTCTCCTCCGTTTCTGTGTGCGTCTCTGCCTTCAACACTCTGTGAATCTCTGTGTATCACTGTCTCTGTGCCTGTCTTATCTCTGTGGATCTGGTCCTTTCTCTGTCCCTGTCTCTGCATGTCTCTTTCTCTGTGTTAATGCCTGTCTTTGCATCTCTGTGTATCCCTCAATCTCTGCTACTCTCACTCTGGCCTCCAGCTGAGAAGGCCGGGAGCCACCTGGAGGTGCCACTGGAGGAGAACGTGAACCGTCGCGTGCTGGAGGAGGGCAGCGTGGAGGCGCGCACCGTGGAGGATGCCATCGCCGTGCTCAGGTGAGGAGCTTAGGTAAGGTGGGGGCTCCCTGGACCCTGCCTGCGCCCTGGGTCCCCTGACACCAGTGTCCCCACAGCGTGGCTGAGGAGGCGGCTGACCGACATCCCGAGCGGCGCATGCGAGCAGCCTTCACGGCCTTCGAGGCAGTAAATCTCCCAAGACTCAAGCTAGAGAACCCCAACATGCGGCTGTCACAGCTGAAGCAGCTGCTCAAGAAGCAATGGATGCGCTCTCCTGACAACCCCATGAACCAGCGGGCCTTGCCCTTCAATGCCCCGAAGTGAGGGACCCAACCCTGGACTGGGGGCTGCACACAGCCAGCGAAGAGCACTACTGGGACATGGGGGACAGGAGAAGCCAGGCCCCTGCACAGGCCTGGAGCTCTGTGACCTCACACCCCTCCTCCCTGGACGGTCCCGGCTCATAGCAACTCAAGCGCAAGTATAGGGCCCTGGGCTGGCCTCCCAATAAAGGCAGGTCTTTGTGGTTGTGATGAGAGTGGTGTGGACTCAGCTGGGGGTTGGCGAGTGAGGGGCTAGGATGGTGGGTGGGTGGGTGGACAAAGAAGACCTGGGAGCTGGTGGGCAGGTGGGTAGGACTGAATGCAGGAGTAGCTAAAGGAGACGCTGCCGAACGTAGTAAAGACACTGGGACCACCGCCTGGAAAGGACAGGGCCCCAGCCTCCTTCTGGGCCAGATGACCATGGACCTTACTGAGCCGTGCAGACCTGGGCCGGGGCACCTCCCTAATCTCCACCCAGCACGGCACTGCCCCTCAGTCTCTCAGTCCTTAGTACAGATTAGCAGAAGACAGCTGTTCCTCAGAGTTTTCTCTGCCTGTTGATCAGCGAGAGACCAGTGTGGTCATCCACGGCAGCACTCTATAGGGGCTGCTATGAGGAGCTGGCTCAGAGATGGAACCACTGACTGAGGTCACAGCACATCCACCGCACAGCAGGGGCCAGAAGTCAGCATCCCAAGGCAGCATTTCCTAGTCAGCTGGGGGTCTTGACTGGAAGAAGTACTAGCAGTGTCAGCCGCTGCTGCTGTTCATCTCACATTGGAGATCTCTGGTGTGGAGGGGTCGGAACATCCTTAGCTGCACCTCTGGAAGCCTCGGAGGGAGGGATCTGAACCCAAATTTGGCTCTTATAGTTTCTGAAGATCAGAGAGAAATAGGAGGTGGTGGTCATGGAAGTTGACAACAGTTGCTGTCACTGGGTACGTGTACACATACACCTCTCTCTCTCTCGCTCTCTCTCTTTCCTTCTCTCTCTCATACACACTCACTCACTCTTTCAATCCAGGGCCAGCAGGGGACTTCATGGTACAGTGGTCAGATTTCTGCAGCACATGCCCCACAGACTAACAGCAGCTGGCACAGGGTCAGTGTCATGGTGAGGGAGCAGTGTGTTTCCAGTCTGTGTTGGATAGACATACTGTGAGGCACACTCACTCACTGGTGGAGGAAGAAACAGACACGGATTTTGAGGATGAGTGAAGAGATGCCAACTTCCCCATCTGGTTCCTCACTAGACAGCACTTTCCTTGCACCGTCATGGCTGTCCCTGATCTGTCCCTGATCCCTTACCCCATTCCCTTTCTTAGCTTACAGTTTCTCAGACACCACGATTGTGGCCCTTGGGACTCTGCCCTGGGTTCTTCCTGCTAAGAACACCCCTCTCCAAATCCCAAGTCTGTGGATGCCCACAGAATCTCCTTGCTCCTGAAGTCAGGGCTGGCTGGGTCAGGGAGAGAGCCAAGGTGTGCCTAAAGGGGAGGGGAAAGCTTTAGAAAGGGCTAGAGATGAAAAAGACCACCAGGAGCCAAATGGGGGGGGGGAGGCCTGGAGGTTTCAGCTCACACACCTCTGGATTGTGGGGAGGGGGCAGTGCTGCTGATAATTGGAACTATTCTGCCCACGTGTAGTGTGCAGGGGCTGGGAGGCTGCCTGAAGTGATTTTGTTTTTTAGATGCCGTCAAGTCAACCAGGAGTCATAACAACTCCATGAATGACACACTGGAGCCTTGCTGTATCCTGTGCTATCCTCACAACCTCCAACATGCTCCAGTCCATTGTTACAATCACAGTGCCAGTCCATCTGGTTGGGGGCTTCCTCTTTTTGACCAGACCTCTATCTCTTCCCAGCATGTTTTTTCTACAAACTGGTCCCTCCTGACAACATGCCCAAAGTATGTGAGAGGAGGGGCTGCTCAGGAGCACTCTGGTGGCACCTCCTCCAGGGCAGATCTGCTTGTTTTTTAGCAGTCCTTGATGTATTCAGCATTCTTCACCAAGACCACAATTCAAAGGCATCAATTCTTTGGTCTTCATAGTCGTTGTTAAACTTTTCAAATGCATGTGACAAACAATTGGAAAAAGCTTTACTTGGATCAGGTGCACTCTTTAGGACTTTAAGGAGGTCACTGAAGGCCGATTTCCCCCACCCAGTGCAATGAAATGGTAGGAGGTGGCATAAAGTGACAACATACTGAACCCCAAATTACCAAGAGGGATGAGGAAGTGATGGAGAGAAGGGGTCTAGGAGGCGCTAAGGGGCAGAGTCTGCATCAGTAACTCCAGGAGATGGTACTAGGCCTCAGCCAAATGGAAGGCAGCATCTTTTCACTGATCCCAGGGCGGCCTGTGAAAGTTTCTCTAGAAATAAATGGGAAAATAGTCCACCCAGAGTTGCCAGAGAAATCGAAGTCAAAGGGTTGGCATGGGACTGAGCAGGAGCTGAAAGCTCCTCAGCCGTCTGTCCCACAAATGAAGGCATGGGTTCAAATCCTGCCTGTGTCTCTTGATTCTAGGACCTCCCTCAAGGGCCCTATCTGCCCCTTAATTTCTCTCTGCAGAACAGGTGTAGATACAGTGCCCACCCATAGGTTGTCTGTCAAGAAGACAGACAGTCCCCTGGGTGGGCTCAGTAAAGGATCCCCCAAGCGGCGTCCTTGTAGTCGGGCCCAGCAACAATGTCTGATCCATTCTGCAAAAAAGCCTTTTCTGTCTTCACGCGACTGAAATCCTGAACTCACGCATGCGCGTCTGCAGTAGGGAATCCCCAGCCCCGCAGCCGAGCGCGGGAGGGGGCGTGCGAAGGGAGTCCCGCTTGCCCCGCGCTCAGTGTTGCTATGACAACCAGGCACCTCCCAGGCGGGGCCAGGGATACGCTAGCTGCGTATTGCGCCTGCGCGAACCGCTCGCCTCGCGCGCCAGGGCTTTCCCGGGGCGCACCCGCCGGGGAGGGGGTGGGGACCTCCGCGCGCATGCGTAGACCCCTGCCCGTCCCCTCCCCCAAGTCGGGGAATCCTCGCCGCCGCAGTGCGCAGGTGGGGAGAGCGCGGGGAAACCGGTTCAAACCGGAGTGGAGCTCCAGCAGAGGCGGCGGGGGAGGGATCGCCCGCGGGGTCTTCCCAAGCTTCCCCTGCTCGGCCCTGCCATCGCTATGGCAACGGCGCGGGCCGCAGTGCGGGGGCAGCGGCATGGTTCGGGGAAGCCTTGCAGCTCTGCGCTTGCGCGGGGCTCCGCGGCCGGGGTTCCCCCTCGCGCGCCCCCAGGGAATGCGGGGAGGGGTGGTGGGGAAACCACGGATAACAACAAAGGAGGAGGGGAGCAGCGATATCACAGGGACAATGAAAACCTTTGGAGGTGTGGCGGGAACAATGGTCGATATATGAGGGCCTAGAGAGGGGGGATGTAGGGCACCAGAAAAGAAATCTGCACCTTCAGGGTATGGAACCGGAACTTCCAGACAGCTTGGAAACCTGGATGCGGACCCAAAGGTTCCAGATTTAGCGAAATAAATACATGAAGCACAAACACAAAACACCTGGTTAAATTTGAATTTCAGATAAAGAGTAAATTTTTAATATTATGTGTTTTTATTTGGCAACCTCAGTCCAGATACTTCCAACTCAAACATGCTATCTGTCCCTTGCACTCTTCCCCAAAGCTGCAGGAACCTCTCGCGCGATGCGATGCCCTCAACCCTGGCTCAGCCTCTCATTTCCTTAACGTTCCCCCACATAACATCGTCATGCTGAACTGAACCCTTTCTCACCTGCAGACACGAGCCAGTTCTCAGTCATGCAGGGAAATATGCAAAGATCATCGAATACTCTTCACCCCCATGTGCCCCGCCCCGCCCCACCCCTCTGCCATAGATCTGTTAATACTGACGGGACATGACCTTGCCTGTCCCGACCAGAGGGGCTCCTCTAAACCTGCCTCCCAGCACCGGCCGGCCGCTACTGGGCTGTCTGCTTGCTGAGCACATAGTAGGTGATCAGAGGCGTCTTCCGCGTTCTTACCCAGCACTTAGGGGAGTGAAGTTGATTTCCGAAGCGTGCATTCTCCATCGCACGGGGGTGGTGCACTTCTTTAAGTACATTTACATCCTCCGACAAAGGGCTTCCCCATTATCCATCCCTTTGGTTCCTCCTTCCTTTTATCTGCTCCTTCACTTATAAAGCAATAAAACAGAAAAGCGAATAAAAAGAGGGAAAGTCAGTCCCGCAGCCCCTGGCCCTGGCCGCCCCAGGCCCCCATTCAGCCGAGTGAGACGGAGACACATTATTGTTTCGCAGAGGCATGCTATTCCGGAAAAGGGTTAAGTGTCCTGGATGTGAAGGGGTTGGGACTTCCCGTTAGGCAGGCAGGCAGAAGCGGTCCTGGTTCTTTGGTGCGATATCAAAGGGCTAACTTCCCATGGGACGGTTCCCAGAATGGTTAACTGCCCTCCGACCTGGCTCTGAGCCCCCCTGGATAGGACAGCACCCAGAGTCCTCTCATCCTCCCAGCAACCAGTTCCAAATGAGACCCAGCCCAAGCTGAATGAGAGAATAGACTCCATCAGGGTTGAGGAGTAGCTGGGCAGTAAACCAAGCAGCTTTAGATGGTAACATTGGATTTAACAGTGAGAGACAAGAGGGAGTCGGAGTTTGATTATCCCTTTTAGTTATCCCTTTAGTAGTGCAGGTGCAAAGGCCCTGAGGCAAGACTGATTAAGAGAGCCCTTGGCCTTGGCTGGAATGTGGGGGCCGGCAAGGAAGAATTCACCGGGGCTGGGGAAAAAAGGCACATAGGGAGCACGCAGTGTCTGCTGGGGAAGCAGAGTCAGGATACTCTTTTGGTTCAAGAGAATAGGGAGACAGAGTAAGGGAGCTTGGATTTAAACTGGGCAGGAATGCGACTTGTCACATCTTTGGGGCGTGATCAAAAAGCAGTGGCCAGCCTATGGAGAAGGGATTATGGAGAGAAGAGAAGGTGAGGACGTGAGGCTCTGTCAGGTTGGGCGTGGGGGG